CTTGGGGCAGTGGTCCAGCACTGAAAGTAATCCTCCAATTTATCCAGGAGTCTTTGGGTGTTGCCCATCTCATCTGATGATTAGGACAGTAGATCTTTATAACCAGTGTCTCTCTCCCTCTCCCTCCTCCTCCCCATTTAAGATGTTTCTGGCAGCAAAGCCTCCAAGTGCCATTGTGTCTCCTGGCTGAGCACACCCATTTCACCTTGTTTGTACCATAAAGGGTGCAAGGGCTTGGGCACTGGGCTAGAAGTCAAGAACTTTTCACAATTTCACGTTTGAATTGCTTTGTGAAAAGGAAAACTTCCTGTTCTAATTTCTTCCTTCACTAACACTGAATCATTTGTCCAATAGACAAAAGGACTTTTTATTGCTACTCATTGTCAAACAAATAAATCTGTGGTTTAAAATCAGTAAAGCCTTTTGAGCAGCTGAGCTCACCTCTAAATTGGTGCAATTCAAGATTTTGCTATTTTTTAGTCTATAACTCAGGCAAGGTAATTAAATGAAAAGCGCTAAATAATTTTAAAATAAAAGGCTGGAACTTTAAGGGTATTGACTTTGAGACAGGGCTTAAGACAAATTTGCTGTGTTTTTCCTAATATTTCATCACTTAGACCACACTGTTATTTGTATTTTCACTTACCTTGAACAGAGTGGAAGATCACATTGGTATATTTTCCAAATCAGGCTGTTTGGATAATCATAGTTCTAACAAAGACAATCCCTAGCATCTGTAGAATGCATTCTCCACACAGCTGCCAGGGTTGTTTTATTCAGTTACTAAGACACATTCTTAGCAAGTTACTTTCCTGCTTAAAAACATTTGATGAGTTGGGGTGCCTGGGTGGCTCAGTCGTTAAGCGTCTGCCTTTGGCTCAGGTCATGATCCCAGGGTCCTGGGATGGAGCCCCGCATCAGGCTCCCTGCTCTGTGGGAAGCCTGTTTCTCCCTCTCCCTCTCCCCCTGTTTGTGATCCTGCTCTCACTGTGTCTCTCTCTGTCAAATAAATAACTTAAAAAAATCTTAAAAAAAAAAATTTGATGAGTCTCCATTGCCTTTGTGCCAAAGTCCAAATTCCTCAGCCAGCATTTCAAGAGCTTCCCATTTAACCTCAACCTACCTCTTCTTTTCCTCCCTTGACTCCTCCTGCTGACAGTACAGTTTATTCCCTCCTTCTAGGCCTGCTGTCACCCCTCTGTGAGACCTTCACACCTCCCCGAAGCCAGACCATTCATAGCACCTCACATGCCCTTCTTAACGGCCTTACCACCTGATTCAGTTTCCCCCCTCTTTGCCGAAGTATAATTGACAAATAAAAATTATATATATTTAAGGTACAACATGATGCTTTGATACATACATACTTTGTGAAATGGTTACTACAATCAAGCTAATTAACATTTCCATCACCTCACATAAACCTTGTGTGTGTGTGTGTGTGTGTGTGTGTGTGTGTGTTAACACTCAAAGTCTACTCTCTTAGCAAATTTCAAGTATAAGATACAGTATTACTAACTACAGTGGTTGCCAGGGGCTGGGAGGTGGGCAAAACAGGGAGATGTTGGTCAAAGGGCATAAAATTTCAGTTGTGCAAGATGATTAAATTCTGGAGAGTTAATGTACAGCTGGTGACTGGCTCAGTTTAATTCTTTTCCACTAGATCTTGTGTCCTTTGGGAAATCTGTTCCTGTCTAGATAAGTATCAGGATCTCCTGGGCAGGTTGATAAAAATACAAAAATTCCTGAGCCCCACACCAGACCAACAGAATTAGAATCTCTGGGAGTGGAGTCCAGGGATCCATAAATTTAAAAAAGTTTTCCAGGTGATTCTGACCAGCAAGCAGGCTTAGTGACTACTGCCCCATACAAGTCATTCATTTTCTGTGAGCCCAGCCCAGTGAGAGCAAGGGATAGGATGAGGCAGAAAGTTGAGGTACATGATGTCTTGCTTTGTACCAGGTCCTGATGTACTGGCTTTTACATCTGATCATTTAATCCCAACCACCTTGAGAAACAGAGAATAGTATTCCCATTACTATAGATGAGGAAACCATAATTTGGGGGTTTGGCCCTGTTCCGAGGTTCCCAGTGGTAACAGATCCAGTTTTGCTGTCTCTTTAGGCTCATGTTAATTAAATGTTATTTAAAATAAATTAACATTTAGGGACACCTGGGTGCCTCAGTGGGCTCAGGTCATGATCTCAGGGTCCTAGGATCGAGCCCCACACTGGGCTCCCTGCTTAGTGGGGAGTCTGCTTCTCCCTCTCCCTCAGTCCCTCCTCCCCACTCCTGGTCTCTCTCTCTCTCTCTGTCTCAAATAAATAAGCAAAATCTTAAAATAAACATTTATATATATTACATTTATGTATATGTGTGTATATATATAAATATATAACATTTAATATAAATGTTTATATTTTTAGAATCTCCATGCCTTGCTACCCTACGTGTATGCTGCATGATCTACCCACTCTATCTGCTCAACCCTGTTCTCTGCCATGTAGACATTGGAAACAACCTCTTAATTCACTTCCTGCCATCTCCTGTTTTCTCAATTGCAGACGAATGACCATTTAAACTTGCAAATCTGCCAAAGCCACTGCTTATGGTAATTTTTCACCACATATAAGCTTTTTGTTTTTACATATTTACATATTTTACAAATATGTTTACTTTTTCCTTGATAGGTTTACTTTTTCCTTTGAGGTTTTCGGACTTGATAATGGGTATTTAAGCAAGCCAACTCTGCCCTCCAGACTCCTAATGCAAAGGATAATCCAGGGGTTAGCTTTTGCAATGTATAAATAGTTTATACACATTGATGTAGAAAGGCAAACCTTAGAAAAATGGGTGGCCAGTTTGACTAAGTCATTCACAGACAAGAAAATTAAACTACTAAACAAATGAAAAGAAAACCCCAATCACTAGGGGTCAGAGAAACCATGTGATGTCATCCCTCAGATTAGAAAAAAGGAAGAGCAGCTATGATGATATGATGCTTATTCCTGGCCGTGATATGGGGAGAAGGGTGAACTCTTATTAACTGCTTGTTCAAATGGGAATTTTGCCAGCCTTTCTGGAAAGCATTCTGGTAGCATTTAAAAAGTAGGAACTGCAATACTGTTTGTTCTCATTTACAGTTCCTGGGAATCTATTTTCTAGCACAGAACCAATAGAATATATAAATAAGTAAATACTCTTTGAATAAGAGTATTTGCTGCTACATTGTTTGAATGACAAAAACCTGAAAATTATGTGACTGTCCATCTCTAAAAGAATGTTGGCTTTATTATGGAACAACCACATCAGGGTATAATACGATCCCATTAAAAACATGAATTGGAGTTAAATTGCCCTGGCATTTATATGAGGAATGGTTGAGCGAGGAAAGCAAGATGTAGAAAAGTGTCATATGATCTTACTTTGTAAATGTTATCACACAAACATATTCACACAAAGCCCTTTAGATGTAGAATGTGTGTGAGTATGCATGTGTATTTGTGTATGTTTGTGTCAGTGTGTAAGTGTGGGAGTGAATGTGTGTGTCTGTACACAGCTATGTGAACTCTGGGAAAATACAGGAAGACTCACACCAGGTTATTAACATGGGTTATGGGATACAGAGATTGCTGATGGTAGGGAATGCAGAAAAAAGGGTGGGGGGGAAGAGGGTTAAGACAGGGAAAACAAGGAGAAACAGTTAATAAAAAATGTAATAAAAGCATACCAACCTGTATGATATAATGATTTATGCACTTATATAAAATTATATAATGTGTGTATGTGTATCACAAAATTTGAAAAAAATTAAAAATGAAAGTCTAATCAGTTCATTCTTCCACCTTAAAACATGTCAATGGCTCCCTGCTTCCCTGTGGATCAGTCCAGAATCTTTAGCCTGGGCCTCTATCTACTCTCCTATAAAAGTTACCTCTTCATTCTGTGTCACAAACACAGTTTTTCACCTCTTTGTGGATCCCTAGTCCACCTCTGCTCTGCAGTTAACATGCTCTTCTTTGGCTCTTTACATGCGCTATTCCCGTGTCCAGGATATTCAACCCCTTTTCTTTTCTTGGATGGACCCTTACTCATTTTTATAGGTCTCAGCTTAAACATCAGTTTCCCAGGGGGCTTTCCCTGACCGCTCTATATTGTTAGGTAACCTGATATGTATTTCCATGGTTCTCTGTCCTTACTAAAATTGTATTTTATTATTAGCCTCTTTTTCCAAACTTTGCTCAGATTTTCCCAGCTGTAGATTACTGTTTATATGTTGTATCCGAATTGGATAAGAACCTATAGCTGTGGGGATGTGGGATCACCTCTCCAACCCTCTGGCCACCCCATGGTTCTCTTAGCTGTGAGAAGCACTGTTAGTTTTCCAAGGGAAGCAGTTTATGCTATCAAGGGTATTAGTGAGGGACAGAAGCCTTCCCAGCACTGTCTCAAGTTATCTTCCCTGGGTCCCTCTGGCCATCTGCATTCCTTGATGCTCAGGGCTCCCCTCTCTGTTCCTGTCCCCCCAGAGAGGATTCTGTGGACTGAAGAACCCTAGTTATTGTGACTGATAGAACCTGCCCAGCCCTGCAGTCATGCTCTGGAACTGAGAAGAGACTACAGTGAGGGTGATGTAAATTCCAGAATGTGTCTGGGGGCAGCTGGAGCTGACACTTGCACTAGCACCAGAGAGCTAACCAAGACAGGCGTGAAGGAGTTAACACAGGGCACACTCCAGTGAGGGCACAACAACCAAATTTATTAAGCATTATCTTGTTTTATGTTTCTAATTAAAGATGCTTATGAGAAAAAAAAATTCATGTGAAGAGAAGAGAAAGATACTTAGTTCAGTTCATTTTCAAACTGTATTGTTAATAAATTATTCTTTTTATAATAATAGCCTTATTTTTAAAAGTAGTTGCATTTCTGTATTCACAAAAAGCAGGACAGGAAGAAAAGATTGACTGTTTTTCCAGAAGATCCAGGGAAGTCAAATTCCCATCCAGGTCATTGCCTTTGGTAAGCTTAGATAAAACATTCAGATTTGAAAATGAAAAGAAAATGTGGAAATAAATTACACTAGGTGGATCTTTGAAACCTGGGGAGTGTTAATTCTAAGAGCTTTTTATATTAAATAACCCGAGCTTCCCTGTCACCTTGGCAGTCACTCTGTCCTGTGCAGAGAGGATTGAGTTGGATAATAACTCCCATTAGCACGGGGGGAGGTTTGACATGTAAATCCCTTACAAATAGGAAATCGAATAGTGTCCTGCTTAGTAAATCAACATAGCTTGGTGTTAGATATTTCTCCTAGAAGAGTGCCCTTGGTGGCTTGTTATCTTTGAAGTGGATGAAGCAGGCAGCTCTCAGCCCACTGTGCTTGCCTGCTTTTTCTTCTCATCAGGATTGTCCAGCATCTGCAGCCTTTTCTCCAGTCTCTGTTTCCATTCTTCTCTGAGCCTGAGGAGAGAAAAATGCAAATGGTTAGTGCTTTTGTTTCCATATCTGTTGGTCCAATTGAGGTTTGTTTTTTTTTTCCTTCTAACAAATATTTTTAAGAGAAACAAATGGCTTTTACAAATTAGTGAAGAAAAAAAATCAATAGATAAATGAGCAAAGTCTATGAATATATAGTTTTATAAATTTGTTCCTTCCTAAACTGATGTGTGGATTCAATATAACATCAAACAAAATCCCAGCAAGACCTTTTGGTAGATACCGACAAGCTGACTCTAAATTTTATATGGCAAGGCAGACGAACTAGATTAGGAACAATTTTGAAGAAGAAAGTTGGAAGACTCACATTATTTGATTCTGTGACTTAATATAAAGCTGTCATAATCAAGACAGCATGGCACTGGTGAAGGAACTGACAAATAGGTCAATGGAACAGAACAGAGTCCAGAGGGGTGCCTGGGTGGCTCAGTCGTTAAGCGTCTGCATTCAGCTCAGGTCATGATCTCAGGATCCTGGGATCGAGCCCCACATCGGGCTCCCTGCTCCACCGGAAGCCTGCTTCTCCTTCACCCACTCCCCCTGCTTATGTTCCCTCTCTCGCTGTGTCTCTCTCTGTCAAATAAATAAATAAAATCTTTAAAAATAATAATAATAAAAGAACAGAGTCTAGAAATAAATATACCCAAATACAGCTAATTGATTGTTGACAGAGACAAAGGCAACTCAATGGAGGAAAGATTTTTTTTTTTAAACAAATGGTGCTGGAGCATCATACACTTGTATTTAAAAAAATGGACTTTAGGGGCTCTTGGGTGGCTCAGTCGATTAAGTGTCTGCCTTCAACTTGGGTCATAATCTCGGGTTCCTGGGATCGAACCCCACATGGGGCTCTCTGCTCAGTGTGGAGTCTGCTTCTCCCTCTCCCTCTGCCCCTCTCCTCACCTCTCCCCACTTGTGCTCTCTGCTCTCTCTCTCTCAAATAAATGGATGAAGTCTTTAAAAAGAAATGGACTTCAATCCATACTCCACATCTTACATAAAATTAACTCAAAATGGATCATAGATCTAAATATAAAATGTAAGACTAAGACTTCTGGAAAAAAAAAAAAACCCACAAAATAATATCTTCATTATTTCCCTTGGGTTAAGGAAAAAAATTCTTAGATTCAACACAAAAAGCATGATTCATAGAAAAAAAATTTCGGTCTTTATCAAAATTAAAAATTTGTTCTGTGAGACACTGTAGAAGAGAATAAAAATCAAGCCATAAATGGAGCACATATTTGCAAATCACTTACCTGTTAAGGGACTTGTTTCTAAAATATATAAAGTTCAAACTAAATGTTAAGAAAATAAACAATGTAATGGGCAAAAAATTTGAACATTTTACCAAGGAAGTTGTATGGATGGCAAATAAACACATAAAAGTAATGCTTAACATAACTAGGAAAATGAAAATTAAAACTACAATGAGGTAACACTAACCTCAAAGAATGACCAAAAGAAAAAAGAAAAACAAGAAAAAAAGTCCCCTCTTAATCCCCTCTTCCCAAAAAAAACCCAACAAAATTTAAAAAACACTTATAACAAAAGTCAAATCAAGTGTTGGTCAGGATTCTGAGTAACTGGAACTCTTTTACATTGTGGTGGAAATGCAAAATGGTATAGTCATTTGGGAAAATAGTTTGGCATTTACCATATGACCCAGCAATCTTAATCGTGAATATTGACTCAAGAGAAATGGAGACTTATGTTCCACAGAAATCTGCATGCAAATGTTTACAGCAGTTTTATTCATAATCATCAAAAACTAGAAATGATCTAAATGTCCTTCAAGTGGGGAGTGGATCACCAAACTATGATACGTCCACACAACAGAGTAATACTCAGCAAGTATAAGGAATAGACAACTGATATACACAACAATAATTAACCCCAAATACATTTTGCTGAGTGAAAAAAGCTAGACTCAAAAGACTACATACTATATACTTCATTTATGGAATTCTGGAAAAAGCAAAAGTATAGGGATAAAGAACAGATCAGTGGTTGCCAGGGATTGGAAATTGGTGGAGGAATTGACCACAAAGGAGCAGCATAAGGGGATTTTTCAGAGTGATGGAACTTACTATATCTTGATTGTGGTAATTACATGACTCTAAGCATCTGTCAAAATTCATAGAACTGTGTATACACATGAAAAGAAATGCATGGTGCTTATAAATCAATTGAGAAAAAGAAAATGTATAGTAAAATGGGCAGAGGATATAAAATGGCTGTACCAGAAGAAAAAATCCAGCTGTTTCCTATGCATATAAAAAGGTCTCAACCAAACTTATAATTAATTAAATTCAGTTTAAAACAGTGAGATGCCATTTTTCACCTGTCAGATTAACAATGGTTAAGAGTTGAACAACACACAGTGTGAGCAACTATGGAGATAGTCACTCAGGGTGGGAGTTTAAATTAATACAATATCTTTGCAAGACAAGAAGTCAAGAAGTCAAAATTAAACAACAACAACAGGGAACTCATGTTTTGACTTAAGATTTTCATTTTTATGAACTTATTCCATAATTCTTATCCATGTATGCAAAAATGTATGTGTAAGTATTCTTATTACAACATTGTTTGTGAAGCCAGAAAATAAAAACAACCTAAAGTGTTCTTTGATGTGATTGGTTAAACCAATTGTTAACATCATCATAATGGAAAACATTAAAGAAAAACTGAATGTGCTTACATAGAAAAACTTCTAGGTAAGTTAAAAAAACAAGGTGCAGTTTAGTGAAGATAGTATAGTCTCATTTTGCATAAAAATATAGTTCACATATTTATTTGCTTATTCAAATTGAAGCTTTGGAGAAAGATATACAAGAAGCTTGATATCAGCTTTTCCTCAAGAGCCTAAGTAAGAAGGGTACTCACTACTAATTATATGTCCTTTTGTGATACTTGAATTAAAAAAAATATATATATATATGCACTTGTGTTCATTTCATAAATATAAAAATAACCAAAATGGAAAGATTGGGTAAATGTTATTAGTTCGCTAAAACTGCCATAAGAAAATACCAGAGACTGGGGGTCTTAAACAACAGAAACTTATTTTCTCATAGCTCTGGAGGCTGGAAGTCCTAGATCAAGGTATCAGTAGATTTGGTTTCTCCCAATGTCTCTCTCATTTGCTTGCAGATGGCCTTCTTGCTTCATTCTCATGTGGCCTTTCCTCTGGGTGTGTGTGCATTCCTGGTGTCCCTTTGTGCATCCTAATCTCCTCTTCTTATAAGAACATCAATCAAATTGGATTATGCCCACACTAAAGGTCTCATTTTAACCAAGTCACCTCTTTTAAAGGCCCTATAACCAAATATAGTCACACTCTGAGGTACTGGAGGTTAGGACTTTAACATGAATTTGAGGGGATACAATTCAGTTTATAACACTGTTAAGCAAAGTAATGCATGCTTACAGCAGGAAAATCAGAATATACAAAGAAGGATTTTAAAAAAGTTGGCTTCAACCTTAATTTTTCACTCTTATAAATAACCCTAAAATGAGTATAATAATACTTAATACTCTTTTCATATACCCATCTATTTTCCTTGGAGAGATTCCTAGAGGCAAGTAAGTTAGAGGGTATAAATATTTTGAAGGCTTTAGGCGCCTATTACTATTCCGCTCCTGGCAGCTTCTCACTTAAAACTCTGCTCAATTACAGGCCCAGGAAAGAATGTAAAGAATCTGGAGCGTCGGCCTGTTGTTAGGTATAGTTGTTGCTTAGGCACATTAGCAACCAAGGATTGAAAGTTGAAGTATTGAGAGAAGAATTAGGGATATGGGGAATAATGTTAAAACATTGGTTATATCCTCATTCTACCTCAAATTAAATTAAAGTGATGGACATAAAAATAACAGTTTGCTTGTTTGAAAGGTAAGGTAAAACATGGGATGGCTGCTCTCTCATAAGCAGGCAACTGTCTCATAGCTCTTTGCACACTTTACTTAGGAAGTGATGATTTATTGAGCTTATATGGCCTGTTGATATCCACCTATTAGTAATTTTCATAAATTGTATTTCTTCATTATGCTTATAAAGAATGCATCTTGTATTTTAACTTGTAACCAACCTCCAGGCTCACAGGTTCCCCTCATTAAGGATCTCTGAAAGGTTCTTTAACTAAGTCTGCCTCCAAATGCACATGACGTTTGTCACTGAGATCTTTTAAAGTTCACTAATGGCTATTTTTAAATAAATTGCTATCTGTGTATTTCATGGAACTTGATGAACTTCTTTTTTAAAAAATTTTATTATGCTATGTTAATCACCATACATTACATCATTAGTTTTAATGTAGTGTTCCATGATTGTTTTCGTCTAACATCCAGTGCTCCATTCAGTATGTGCCCTCTTTAATACCCATCACCAGGCTAACCCATCCCCCCACCCCCCTCCCCTCTAGAACCCTCAGTTTGTTTCTTAGAGTCCATAGTCTCTCATGGTTCATCTCCCCCTCTGATTTCCCCCCCTTCATTTTTCCCTTCCTACTATCTTCTCTTTTTTTAACATATAATGTATTATTTGTTTCAGAGGTACAGGTCTGTGCTATGGTGAATGCTGTGAATTGTGTAAGACTGTTGAATCACAGACCTGAACTTCTTAATATAATGTGAACTCATTCACTACTTAAAGGGGCTTTAGCTTTTCCTGGATATAGTGGGCATGAAAAAGCGCCACTCAGAGATGCTGCTGTGGGGAGCATAGCTGACTTCCCATCTGCAACTACTTCCCATCTACATCTGCCCCAAGCGTTTGCACCAAGGCCAAACTTTTCTTGGGCTCCTCTCAGCTGGTGACTGAGCACAGGAAAGGTACTAAAGCAGGCCTCTCTCTGCAAGATGCAGAGCTTCTTTGAACAGTTGCCTTTGGCTCAAGGACGTCCCATTAGTCTGGCCAAAACTTTATGAGGCTTGCCCTGCTGCCTAACCCAGTTCCACATTCT